AAAGTGAAGGTAGCTCTGCAGCCTGCTGGATAGGAGCCTGTTTGCATAGCTGGGGAATGGTGTCAGGGCGCAGAGAAACAATGCTTTCAAATAAAAAACCGACACAGACTTCAGCAGCGAATTCATAACTTTTAGGTTGGCATCGCTGTGTTTGGGCACAGAATCCTGGGGGGCAGCTGGGGTCTGTGTCAGACGTGAGAGCAGCAGTGACAGTGACCCCTTGTCTCTGGTGCTCTAATACCCGTGATCTTATCGTTAAAGGATAAGGAGATGACAGCATCGCAGAACGCCTCCAGGGGGGAGCGAGCTGGAAAGCAGCAGCAAAGCCACCCAGCAGAGGCAGTTGAGATAGCAGCTAGGAACCTGAGACAGAAGGTGGAAGAGTTCTGAAGTCAGCTGGGTTAGTCCCAAGCTGCAAGCAAGCGTTTCCATAGTTCAAGGTAGAGCTGAATGCGAGGAGAGGAAATAAAAATGCTGCATCCTTGTGCCTCCTGCCTGTGTGCAGGGGTTGCCCTGTTTCACAGTGCAGCTTCTGCCCATGAAGTGGGGCTGTCGGTGGGCGCACACCCTGCTGCCCTGCCCGGATGGCTGCTGTGTGATCGTGTGCTGCTGCTCTGCTCCGCCTGCTCCCAGCAGCTCTGGGAGGTTTGACTGCCTGTGCGCAGTAGCAGCGTGCAATTGTCGGCCGCACAGCAGCGCTCTTCTTCAAACATCAATCTTTTCCCAGATTTCATTGTGAATGAGGCGCTTTTCTTTCCCAGTCATCTGTTCTAGTCCTTCATGCGGATGTTCCAGGAAGGATACGAAGCCTCATTGGTGTGAGGCCAGCCCTGAATGCGGGTCCTACCTATCTGGTAGGCCAGTCCTATCTGCGGGGTCCGCAGAGCCTTTGCGTCCCCATCTCAGGGGGTGCTGCTACCAGCGGCCGTTTTGCAGAGCAGTGCAGTTCCGTGAGGCTCCGAGAGGCTCAGTGAGGTGAGGGTGACTCTTAGCTGGCGAGCCAGGTGCTGTTTTTTTCTTGGATAGATGGTTGTAAACGTGAATATCTGCCACTTCCCAGTGTGCTGCCAAGGTACCGCAGGCACGGAGCCTGTGGGCTGTGTGCAATAGGCCAGGGCTCTGCTCCTGGAAAGCTGTTTACAAAGCAATCACCCCAAGGTGCCTGCGTGACTGGCAGCTGTGATTGCTTTATCCCAGCTCTGATCCTGCCCTGTTTGGGCTGCACGGTGATGTCAGTGCCAAAAGCAGTGAGAAAGTTTCCTGCTTGTAGCCAAAAAGTGATTTGAAGGAGATGATAGGGCCTTATCACAGCAGGAGGATTGTTGGGAAGTGCTCCTGCCTGGTATTTAAACTGGATGACTGTTTTGAAATTACAAAAAAACCCACATTTTAATTTGGAGTCCATAGCAAAGCCTCGCTGCGCCCGGTCCGTGCCAGCCAGCCGTCAGCTCTCTGAGCACGGGGCTCCACGCTTTCTCCCCTCAGATAAAGATTTGTATTGGTTTGAAGAGCTTGGAGATGCATGCTCTCCACTCCTTGTTGTTGTTGTTGTTTTTTAGCACGTCTGTAAATGCAATGAAGGAAAACACGCCAGCTTTCCTAAATCTTATACTAGTGGCTCTCTGCTCTGCAGCCCAGTGATGAAATTAAGTGAGGAAAAGCTGTTTGGGATGGGTGAGATCAGGCAATGCCTCAGGAAAGCGCAGAGGTGAGGGGCTGTAAGCTGGGAGGAAAACAGTGAATTTGGTGACGGTGGTTTCTTCCCACGTACGCTTTGTCAGCATTTCTGAGCTCAGAGACCTTATTCCGTTCCTGAAAGGGGTGAGGAGGGGACCTCAGAGGGGTGCAGACCCCTCCCCTGGCCACACATCAAACCCCTTCCCCACCTGCCGCAGGGCAGCGCCTGCCACATTCCTCCCTTCCCTCCTGCAGTGCGCAGGGAATCGTTCTGATTTGAGTCTGTGCAAATGAAGGCAATTTGGTTTTGGTCTTCACCAGCGGAAATGGGGAAATTTGGAAGCTCTGCTACAGGAGCGCTGCGGATGGCGGTGGGCGATGGGGTGCTCCGAGTTCAGCTCTTGCTTTGCACGTAATGTTCAGCAGTGAGAACCTGGGGTGCACACAGCAGTGCTTTTGGTGGCGTTTTTGTCTGGAATGGTTTAAAATGTATTTTGAAAATAGCGTTCCCTTGACACGTGCTGATTACAGGGTATTTGAGGGATAGCTTAAAGAAATGAGCTCTTAACGCCCTGCCGCGTGGTTTTCTGCCCTGTTTCGAACCTGTAACAAAGCTGTGTGTTAAAACTATGATAAACAGCCTGCAGATGGACCTCAAGACACTGAAAGAGGTGGAGTGTGCCTTGGGTGGGGGATTCCAGTCCCTCCAGCTCCAGCACTGTTTGTATTTCCCGTATTGGATTGGAGGGTTTTCCTTGCTCCTTCCTTTGCTCGAGCCAGGATGGGCTGCGTGCTGCTCGTGTTGGCTGGAGCGGCTCCTCAGCCGTGCCTTCACCCACCTTTGGGGAGTTTGCCCGTGTCCAGATGTGGCTCTGATGGGGAAATGAGTGATTTCCAAAACGTTTGTGCCGTTCTGGTTGGGTGCCAGAGGAAAAGCGGGGCCTGGGGGGCCGGGGGGACGTCTGTGTGCTGGGGGTGCGTTGGGCCAGAGGAGAGCTGGGGTTGTGAGGGGAGATTAAAGCATGGATGGCTTTAATTTGTGTAATTCCCACCTGTGTCCTGCAAAGGTCTGTCAGCGTGGCAGAGATCATACAGAAAAGCTCACTTAGGGATTCTGTGCAGCACTGGAAGCTGCCTATTTTAACAGGGTCATAAATGCCTCTCTGTGTTCTCCTGGGGGATTTTGGTGTGCTGACACCTGAAACACTTTGGTTTTTGTGGGGCAGCGTTGTGTGGTTCTGTAACGCTTGTGGTTGCAGATCTCTTTGGGTTTCATTTCCTACCTGGTGCAGTGGGAAGGATGAGCGCAGAGAATTTCCCATCCTTATAGCAGGCTTTGAAGCTGCAGGAAGAGGAAGAGGAGGAAAAGCAGGCGGCACGCAGCGCTGCGCTCCCTGTGCAGCCACGTCTCCGCAGGGCTGCTCCTGCCCAGGGCCAGGGCGCTGCCAAAAGCTTGCAGAAGGGAGGCAACTGGCTGTAAAGAAAGCAATCCATAAGAGCACAGGGGGAGAGGGCGCTTCTCTGGATGAACCCTCGCAGCAAATCTCCGGCAGTTCATTGCCGTGTCGCTGGACCTGCAGTTTTCCATCTGCGTTTTGCTTTGCGCTGTCGAGATGCTGACATATTTGTGCGTGAGGGAGTTTGCTAAGGAGCTGCAAATGCCACGAGTCAGCAGGCGTGGGCTGTGCCGCTGCTCTTTTCTTCTGCCTTCCGAAAGGCCTCTTGCTTTTAAGTGCTGAACCCACCAGAAGGAAGTTCCCTTCTGCTCCGGTGATGCTGGGTTTTCACTGAGAAGCCCCACTCGCTGCTGCCGTCGTCTCCCCAGCGTTTGGGGGCTCCTCCATCGTTGGTACAGCAAAGCTCCGTGTCAGAATGCACTTGGCTTCAGGATCGCCTTCGGGTGCCAATAGCCCCGAGATTGCCCTGCTGTTAAATAGCATGCAGTAGCTTTTCTGTGTGTGTGCAGTTAATAAGAATATGATTAGAGAGCGTGGAAGATAATAAGGATGGCATTTAACCAACAAAGCCAGGAAATTCCAGACTGCAGCTCGCGTGTTTCGCTTGTTGTGCCTGGGGTTTTGTTTTTGAGGGTGTTTTGCCCACCTTTAGGGGTACTCCAGGAAAGAGTTGTTCCTAAGGCGCTGGGGAAGCAGATCAGATCGATTCCCTGTAACGCTGAGGTTTCCTCTCCTCTCCATGCGGTGACAGCTCTGTCCACCCACCTTACACACTTTTTCCCCTCTTATTCACCTGCCAATTTTCAGCTTAGGAGTTTTCCAGCAGGTTGTGTTAGCTGAGAATTGGTGTTTTTTCTTTTTCTTTTATAACCTTTTAACTGCAAAAGTGCCACAGAGCCTTTGCTGGGTCCAAGCTGCTGTGGAGCTGCTCTCTGTTTCTGCCCTGAGGAATGCAGTAAATCAGGATTTGAATGCACAGCAAGAGCACACACCTACGTGTGGCTTTCTGAATCTTCAGCCCTGTTAAAAGGGAAGGTTTGCATAAAGCATCTTTGCACTGGTCAGTTTTGTTCCCTTCTGGGAAGACCGGCTGTTGGAGGGGTTTGGTGTGTTGGCTTTGGAGACTTTTACGAAGACTTGGGTGATTGTTAGGGGCAGGGCGATCTCTCAGGGAACACAGCGGGGCTGCCAAGCTGGTTTGCATTTCCCTCAAACTGAATCACACCATTGCTGCCTTTGCAAGGTGGAGCTGAAGGGCTCTTCAGGCTGCACAGAGTGAACAAGGCTTTAGCAGAGGGCATCGGTGCTGGTTAAAGTCAAGTGTAGAGAGCTTCCTCTTCCTGGAGAGCTGCAGTGGTGCCGTTCTGTTCCTTTGAAAGGAGTTTACTTTATTTGCCTGAAAAGGCTTTTTGTTTCGTTTTGCATGGGCAACTTCTCCTAATTACAGCGTTTTGCTCCGGGAAGGGCTGCAGCGCTCTGTGCAGGTGGGCAAGAGAGGAGCTTTCTGTTTTCTGCTCCCAAAGAGACTCATTTCTTCTCCTAGCTCTTTGCCTGTGATTTTGCAACGAGGAGCTGCCCTGAGATGCTTTGAGATGAGAATTTTCTCCCCGAAGCCGCTGAGCCTTTGGCACACCTGGACCCGCAGCATCGCTCCGGCTGGCAGTGGGGGCAGCGCAGCTCCTGGCTTTTCTCGCAGTTATTGATCCATTAAGCAGCAGGCCTGGAGCGCAATCAGCTGCGTGCCGAAGGCTTTCCCCCCTCAGGGGCGCCTGCCATCGGATAGTTCCCAGCCAGCCCCGAGCTCTGCAGGCCAATTATTTTATCGTCTGTAATGCGAGCCACGCGTGCTGTTGGTCTCATTTCCAGATTGAGGCCGAGGTGCTGATCCGGGCGCTGCCGACCCCAGCTGCCAGGAGGAATCCATGAGCAGACAACCTTGGATATGGACATCGTCCTGTCGGATTTTGTTCGCTCGACAGGGGCAGAGCCAGGACTGGCCAGAGACCTGCTGGAAGGTACGTACGGCCGGGGACGGGGCTGGGAGGAGGCTGCTGTGGTCTGAGCATGGAAAGGGCTTGCGAGAAGGGTGAGGAGGACCTGCGAGGATGGAAGTTGGTGTCCAGCTGGTGTCATCAGCAGCGGTGCTGGTGAAATTCTGCCCTGGTTTCTTGTTACACGGCCATCAGGTAATGAATTTCAAGTGTTTGGAAGGAGAACGCGTTGAACAGGAGCGCAGCTCTGCTTCATTCAGCTTCTGCTCCCGCGTGTTGTTCGCTGCCAGCAGTGTAGTAAAACTTTGGGGTTTTTCTTGTCAGCAGTGCTATCGCTGCTAGCGAGCGCTCTGAAGGCCGCCTGTGTTTCCAAAGGGGGTAATTATACAGGCAGAGCTGCGCTTTTACTGGTATATCTTGTTCTGCTTGTGAAGGTGGTGTGATTATACCAGTATAAATTGCTGTTTTGCTGGTATCTGGCCATCCGTGCTGCGTGCTGCTGAGCCGCTCACCTCTCCTGGCAGCGGCCCCTGCAGCTGGCTCTGCACAGAAGTGCACCCAGGGCTCATCATGGGGCACTTGCTGTCAGCAGGCCCAGTCTGTCGGGTGCCAGGAGGCACTGAGCGCTCAGGAACGGAAGCCTCGAAATGCTGCATCATCTGCATGCAGCCTCGACGCGCCGTGCTGGCGGCTCTCCAGCGCTCTGCCTGCTCAAAAGTGTGTTTGTTTGCCCTAAAGCGTAGCACAATATTGACATTTTTCTCAAAAACTGCTGAAGATGGGCGACTCGCTCCTTAATGACCGTGTTTAGTTTCAAGGCTGTAGATAATTGGTTTTTCACCTTCTGCTTGTAGCTATGGGCAGAGGCAAGGAGAGGCCGCCAGGTCTGAATTTTTGGGCTGTAAGCTTTCTTGCAAGCAGTGCCTTTGGGTTTGTGTTGGCACGAGGACGGTGACTAAATGTTGGCCTGTGCGAAATGCTGGAGGACAGAAACGCTGCATGTGAAGCAGAGGAAGCTGCACTTGGCAGTTGGTCCATACTTAACCGAAATGCAATTATATGATTCAAGACCGTGCTTGCTGCGATACTGGAGCTGTATCATCACCCTCTTAACCTTGGTAATGGTGCGAGTTTGGCTTTGCTTCAGACAGAGCCTTGGTTCCTCCTTCTTCCAGAGGCTCAAGTGAGGCACGGCTGTGAGATGGGGGAGGCGCTGAGGGCAGGGCGTGTGGGGGGCGGCTCGTGGCCTGCGGCCCCCTCCATCGTGGCGGCCTGCAGCCCCCTCCATCGTGGCGGCCT